GTAACGTTCACTACTGCCTATCAAGAAGGTCGTCTGCTCGTTTGCCACCACTGACATAAAAAAAAAACCTCGATAACATTCTTAAGTAAGTACCAATAAATACTTAACATAAAATAACCAATTCTTATTTGAAAGTTAATCAAAACATAAGGCCGTTTTCATGAGACTAAATAAGAACCAATAACTGTTCATTGACCTGGAAATATGAGGTGTTTCGGGAAGCTGTGTCTTAGTACAGAGAGGAGACAAAATATATATAAATATATAAATGGCTAATGATGTTATGATTATGATCATTTTGTTATCAAAACTATTACTCGAACACTTTCGATGTTCGATTTTTTCATATCAATATGGAAGTGAGACTCCACCGAACAAAAAAATAAATAATCCGTAAAAAATATAACTCCCTTAAAGTAGGTACTTGTTTTAGTTTGAGTTCATTATCACACGCTTTTTTATTATCCTGATGATAAAAATAATGATTTCCTTTGTGATATTAATATACATATAAGAAGAAAAAATTTAAAAAATCGAGTCTTTAAATATTTTTACTATACATTTTAACATTGTCACGGTTATTTGTAGTCTCTCAAATTCTTCTTCAAAGTTTTCTTCAAAGAGATGAATGTGGGTTAAAAAAATCAATGTCAGTTTTTTTTTTGATAAACTGCATGCATGTACAAAATGAGTTGTACTGATATTATAATGACCAGTGGCGGCTGTACCTTAAGTGCGCCCGTGCGCTGAACCACCAATTCAAAATATTTAAAAATTACAAAATATTATGTCATCTTAATTTTTAAATTACCATTTTAATATTTATTTTTTAAACATACAAAAAGGTATAAAAAATTTAATTTCCAATTATGGTCAAAAAGTTTGTTTCATTATTAATGACTGAATAAACTAAGATCAATATATAAAACTCCGGGTCCATAATACATCTCTGTTCCTTTCCACAGTCTCTCGTGCACTCCGGTCTCAGGCGAAGCGTTACAATGTACAATGTGTCACAAGTGTTCGTGCATGTAACCTTAAATAGTATATTGTGCAAATTTAAATATCTCCAACGAAGCTTAACAGGGAAATTCACGAGGATAATATTATATTGTGCAACTAGTGCGAGAAGTTGTCGATTGCCCACGACAGCGAAGTTGAGCGGACGAGCGAAGCGACTAATAAAAAAAAGAGTAATAAAAAAGCTTTGTCCGCGTGAATTTATGTGTGAAGCTCCAATGGAGATATTAACATTAGAACAATAGATATGGTAACAAATGAATAAGGTTGGTTGGGTGGTTAAATATTTAGCGACATATGTATGTAGACTTCATATGTTATAAAACTGTTCTACCTGACCCTGCGGGGGAATTACATGGAATACTATAATAAGTATTATTTACATGTCTTAGTTACATTACTACAAAGATATATAAGAACTTGTTAAGTAGATTGTGTGTAACAAAAAACTAATCATAAGTAAGTGTAAGGTTATTAATAACGAATCAGGAAAGTTCATCTGTTTACATCTTGAATGTGAAGTAATAATTATCTTAATATAACAAACATGTTCATCTCATCATTCCTCACTACTGACTGTTAGTTAATCATATACAGAACTCATACACGTATTTATTACAATGTATACATTTTGATAAAAATGTTTGTTGTTTAAAAGCACTGTTTATTTTCTTAGACAGCAAGCTTCTCCAGTAGAATTACCAAATTCACTCAATTTCCAAATCTTTAGCCTCTTAACTTAAGGATAATTTTTGATTCCATATTTAGACTTAACAAAATAACTCAATAAATATAATAACTAAATAAATCAAACCACATTTCACTACACGTATAACTGAAATTCCATCAACGCGGTCCCCGGTTCATTCCCGTGCACGCTACACTCACTGTATCCACAGTCACACTTCAAGTCCTAACTTGTTCCGTGTGTGTTCAGAGAATGTCTGTTCACGTCTCTTCTCTCCACCGTCTGTATGTTAACTGTCGCGTCCCTCGTGGCTCCTCTCACTGCTCCTCGCTGCGCACTCACGGACACAGACGGCGCAGATAACTTTACATTCTGTTAACAAACTGACTGAACTTTCAGACTATTTTATTATTATTTTCATGATGGGAATGATTAGAGCGTGCTTTTCTTTTTGCTTCTAATGATAAACTTTATATGACGAAATAACAATTATAGATTATTGTACCAAGAGTTTAATCATGTGAGTTACTATTAATTACTTTTAGTTACTACATATAAAGCGATTAAGAAAGAAAGCGACAAAAATTATTTTACTTTCCGATCGACCTGATCAGTATTTAAATTGTTATTTTTTTAAATGTGATTTCAGAATTTATATTAAAGTTAATAATTAGATAAAAATGTCATACACATTTCATTTAGGATAAATCACGATAATATTTTTCTTTTCCCTGAATGGGTATTGATAGTGCATTTGTTGCAACAAGTGGCTGTTAAATAAATTATCGAATACTGTCTCCAATCACATTTCTTACTCTTTAAAAGTGTGACGAAATATTTCTGACTTAAATTATGATTTCATTTCTTATAGTTTAGTCAAAATAATATCCCTCAAATATTATATAATAACATAGTTATAGGAATAGTTGGTCAGTGGTTGCCCAGTGGTCAAAGGACCCACCTTTCGTTGCCGAGGGCGCGGGTTTGATCCTGGCCCGGGCAAGTACCAATGTGGTTTTTCCGAATCATATGCACTTTCTAAGAATATTTAGACATCACTGATTAATGTTGATTCCCAAAAGAGGGTTGATGTCAGGCAGGCGGCCGGTCGTAAAAACAAATAGCCAAAACCATTCACAACATGTAAGGCAGACCCTGGCTATAGCTGGGAAAATTGGTAGGTAGAAGAAGATAGTTATAGGAATAGTTAGAAAGATAATTTTACACGAAACTAACCATTGTAATGTTGTTATTTGCAGGGCAAATATTTTACCATATGTTGATGTGAAAATGGCAGAATAACGAAGTTAAGAATTTAAAACAATGAACACTAAATTGATACTCTTTGCTTTACGGGTGCATCAGAAACAAGTTAAAAATCCAGCACAAAATTTATTTAAAGTCTGCCAGAATTTATGTAGCACTTTGTCCTTCGCTGCTCTGTAAAACGCCTTATTCATCAACCGTCTGCATCAATAAAAAAATTAAAGTAGAAATAATGAAAGTTTTTAATAAAATAATCCATATATTTAATTTAAAAGCTGATGCAGAATTTAGGTATATTGGTATAATAACAATTATGTTGCTTAATGACATCTAAGACTTTCGCGAGTATTCATTTAAATGAAATTAATATTATTCGGATTACTTCTCGTTTTTTATTATTTTATATCTACATACTCCCGACGTTCCGGTTACTTTGCAGCAACCGTGATCAAGTGCAGATGAGATGTCAATGTGAATTATATTTAATCAACATAATTCTTAACTTAATAGGTTGGTGAATTCAAAAAGGTTTCTTATTTCCATATTAATTGATAATCTACTGTGCCCTTTATAGACAACTGATCAAGTGTTTATTTATTATAGAGTAGCAGGTTGATCATGTCCATGGATATTCTACTATTATTAATAAATGTAAACAATGAAATTTTTGTCCATTTGAGGATTACTTTATGTAAAACGTTAAAGTAACTTGTTCGGTTAAGCAATAAGATACCAAGTATGATTGAAATGGAAAAGGTAAAGTTAAAAATAATCCAAATAAAATGTACTTACATATTTAAAAAATACATGACTTGAAATTACTAAAAGCAAAAAAAATCTCTATGATGATAAGACGGAAAAAGAAGTTGATTAGATATACAAGTTGAATAATTTTATACATACCTATATCGGATTTATTACAAATTTGTTGTTTTTAAAGAGAGCCTCGCTGACGTTACTAATGTTACTTCTTCTTGTACGTTCCATGATATTATAAAATGAAACTTCAATTATTCTCAATGCTCTTGTATTTCTCGAAGGTTCTTCATAATTACATACTTCAATGATACGCACTCACTGAACTCTTAATTCTGCCGTCGTGCGTCCAGACGTCATATTTATACCAATATTTAAACATAGTTCTGTTCTCTTTTTAAACAATCTTTGATTTCGTTTTACTTTTAACAATAATCATAAATACTAATGAGTTTTAATAAGAATAGATGACAGCCTCAAATAATTTTCATTTCGCATCCGTTATTAAAGTTGATAGCGCCGATATATATAATGGTAGATTAATAGACTTGTTAGGTAATAGATTAATAGAAAGCTAGGTGTTTCGGTTTACATTAAATAGTATTCAAACAGCCTTTGTCTACTAATTAATATCAATAATTTTTAAATACTCTCTTTCTCAACATTTTACTGTTACAAATAAAGCTCATTATTGAGATAATCCGAAAGTATGAAACACCCATATTTTGTTAAAATCTTTTTGTGTTTTGTTTGCAGTCATTTAGAAAGTTTTGTTACATTATGTTCATACCTATTACATATTTTCAATACTATTTTATTCCAAATTTTCAAAAATTTTATTTTAAATATTTTGTTCCACCAAATAACAACTTAATTTCATTTTATAAATTATATACAGATCAAAGCAGACATACAACTTTTTAACTGGATCGTCAATTAACGATATAAAATTATATGAAACAAAGGTTTTTAAACAACTTTATCTTAAGATAGGAACAATAGTTTTGTAATAACTTTTCGATAAATATTTTTGATTATTCTGATTATTTTTAGAAGAAAATTAACCTTTTCAAATATTAAAATAAAATTACAAATATACAAATGTTAATTTCGATTAATTTTCTTTCATGTTTTAACCTTTTTATTTTATGTTTTAATTTTTACATTTCCTAGTGTATTTGGATATTTTTTTATCCTTGGTGAAATTGTATAAGTGGATTTAAATGAAGATCTACTCCATTACGGTTTTTTTTTAATATTCTTTTCACTTTTATCGTCTCTCAGGAAGCAGCGCCAGTCGATCAGCTGCTCCAACGCCACCTGCCGCGCGGCAACGCTCTTCGATCTCCTGGAAATAATTAGTATTAAATAGTGAGATTAATGAACCAGAATTACCTGTGGTTATATATATCAGAACATATTTATCTCATGAGATATACTTTCGCGGGTTGTCATTGAAATGTAACTAATATTTTTTTTTACTCTAATCTACTCGTGATGCACGTGAAATATCGATAGTACGTTATAAAAAAATAACTATAAACACTTAGTAAAGTAAATACAAAAATATTACTTTTCTTCCCAAAGAGGGTTGATGTCAGGCAGGCTGCCGGTCATAAAAACAGTTTGCCAACACTATTCACATCATGGAAGGCAGACCCTGGCTAAAGCTGGGAAATTGCATGGTAGAAGAAGGTACTATTGCTAACATGTCTTTCATATTATAATATTGTTCCAGTGTGTACTAACCGCTGAGCTGGGACGTTCCTCATCCAGTAACCTCTGCCCCCTGGCCAGTACGTCCTTGAACCAGTCGTCGCGCGCCTCTTTCTCCGCCCTCAGCTGCTGCTGAGCCTGCGGCAGCTGGGGATGACATCTCGCTGCGGAGGGATGACGACCACGAGATGACGTCACGGAGCTGGGGAACGATATTCATGATATATATATATAACTTATATATAAAATTCTCGTGTCACAATGTTCGTTTCCGTACTCCTCCAAAACGGCTTGACCGATTCTCATGAAATTTTGTAAGCATATTGAGTAGGTCTGAGGCTCTGAGAATCGGCCAACACCTATTTTTCATACCCTAAGTAATAGGGGCTGTTCACCCCAAAATTTTGTTATGATTTGGACGAAAGGTTTTGTTTTTATTTTTTTATCAAGTGTCATAAGAAAATACATAAAATCCTAAATATTAATTTTTTTATCACCAACCCCTACTTTTGATATGACAAAACAACGTTTGCGGGGCAGATAGTATATATTAAATAATAAATAATCAAAACTAAGACAACCATTAAATTAGTGCTTAATATAGAAAAATATCTCTTAATTAAACTTTATTTCATTTAATATTAGTTACAAGTGCGATGTCGAACTGTATATTCATAAATGTTTTTGTTATAAGTGTAATTCTCATATAAGTGATAATAATGTCTTAATGGAAATAAAATATCATAAAGGATCCATTATTTATAAGCGTAAAATCGTTAATAATTAATTAGTATATAAAGAAAATATATATAAATTAGATAGATTAATCAAATGTAGCAATATATTAAAACACTATCAGATCATAAAGGTTTTGTATAATAGTGAAATCCCACAGTAATACCTCGGATAGGAAGGTCTGTAATTCCAGGTGTTGGTGCAACAGTTTCCTCCTAAGGTCTGCAGCACCTCGCAGTGACCGCCACGCCTCACTGAGCGCCTGCTGTCTCAGCGCTATCTGCTGGGAGTTACTTCCTCCTGGAGCACCTGGAAATAGATTTAATATCACTACAACTATCACATCTACCTGGCAACTTCCCAGCTTTAGCCAGGGTCTACCTTACATGTTGTGAATAGTTTTGGCTAATTGTTTTTACGACCGGCCGCCTGCCTGACATCAACCCTCTTTGGGAATGCATTAATCAGTGATGTCTAAATATTCTTAGAAAGTACATATGACTCGGAACAATCACAATGGTACTTGCCCGGGCCAGGGTGTATATTACTACAACTATAAAATACTGCAAAAATCAGTTAAAATCTTATTTAGGCACAATTAGGCTACATTAAGTGAGGAGCTATGATATTATGAAATAGATTTTGACAAGTATTCATTTAAATGAAACTAATATTTATCATATTGTCTGTCCGTGATCATGATACTGTAAAGTAAACGAAACGTCGGAAATATGTATTTTTTTATCAAAACGTTAATCCAAGAAATATTAGTTTCATTTAAATGAATACTCGCGAAAATCTTAGATTTCATTATAAGTCAATCTTAATAGTTACTCAGTGTCTATGAGTTTGCATTTCTTATCACTGTTTTGTACACAATTATTTTTAATTTATTGTAAGAATATGTTAAACTACCTAGTGATACATTTATTATGATTGTCGAGGTTTTAGTTTAAAATACATAATATGTTTAAAGTCATAATTTTCTCAAGTCTGCGCGTCTATAGCGACCATATCGTTCTCGGCTGCGTCGTGGTTCCTCAAGAGGGCAGTGGCGGCGCGCAGGTCGCGGGGCGCGGGGGGCGGGGCGAGGCGTGCCCGGCGCTTCCGGGCCCGCGCCAGCAGGTCCCCGGCGTCGCGGTGGAAGCGGTGGATCTCGCCAGCAGCAGCCAGGCGCTGGCTGCGGGACTGGATCTGTTCTACCAGACGCTCCCAGGACTCCCTGGAATATATGAATTGTATTTGAGTTGTGGATTATGTAAATTAGATGTTATAAATATGTAATTAAAATTCATTTTGCCTTGTTTTAAATGACATGTGGAATTTTTGAATTAGATCTTATGTGTATGTTATTAAGTTTCATTTTTCTTTGTCTAAATTGAATTCCATATCTAGTTATTAAGTCTTATTTTAACTTGTACAAATTTATTTGCATTTGTGGAATGTCTTATTTAGATTCTATACCTGTATACATGTCATTAAGTCTCAATATTCTTTGGTATAAATTTGATTCGAACATGTTGAGTATCTATATTAGATCCTATATCTATGTTATTAAGGGCCATTTTCCAAGTTCTCCTCATTCGAGCACTTCCTGTCTCTTTTCAATGCCAGCGATGTAGGGGCTGTCTGAGGCGACCAGCTTCTTGGCCAGCTCCTCACACTAGTTGAACCTCTCCGCCCCACTCTCTACACGGTGACAGAGCTCTTCAAACTTGGACCTAAGGATCTGTGGTTGGGGAAATATTATGTCTTAGATTATAGATATAATTAAATGGTTTTGGAGGATATTTTAATGAAGCTGTAAAACTTTAGGTATATTTAATACTATGACATGCTAATCTTTGCACATCCTTGTGAGATACAAGAAATAAAAAAAACACTAAATTACGTACTAAATGCTCAAAATGACTTAAATTTCAACAAAATTTAGCATTCATTCGTTAGTTTCTAAAAATAGGATTGCTGAACGGATTTCCGTGAAGTTTCAAAGCTTAATATTTGAAGATATAACTGAATAATGTCTCCATCACCAAGTGTGATGGCTGGAGTACCCTCTCATCATCATCATCATCATCATCTACATATCGTTACTCACCAGTAAGTGTTCATAGTACTGTCCGTAGTCTTCACTGGAGGCGGCTGCTTGCTGCTCCGCAACCCATTCCTCCAACTCAGCGCTCTCAGCCAGATATTCATGTCTAAGGATAGACACACATATTTTTAGAGGATATCCTATTTATATATTCCTATAAGACACATATACTAGTCTTTGTCAGCAACTTCTTCATAATCAACTTCAGGAATAGAAAGGGGTTACTGTGTAACGCTTAAGAAGCAGTAAATAACAAGTCTTTGTTAAGTTGTTATTTATTTAAATTTCTACCTCGCTTAATGGAAAGTATGCTACGTCAGTCTCCTGTTTCTAAACTACCTCGAAATAAATTTACAAATTCTTATAGCCCTTCTTGACTATAAGTAGTGCGACGAATATGATATGTATATATATATATATATATATATATATATATATATACATATCATATTCGTCGGACACATACGCGGCGATCATAGCGGAAATGGGTCACGTGGCGCAATCCATGGCTTCCGGTGGTCATCCTGAGGGAGCTGCGCTGGTCACCAGACATGACCAGCTGGCTGGCAGTCTGGCTAGGCTGCAGAGACTGGCAGCGAGCAGGCCGGCCGCGCTCATGGAGAGTGTGTGCAGGTGAGAGATACTATATATATATATATATATAGTGATTTATCATACATTTCTACACATTTCATACAAAAATTGTGTGATATGACGAAAATCTAATTCTTAGCTATGTATATATGTGTATATTACCTTTTGCCGTGTGAGTAGTTGCGTCGCTCTATGCATATCATTGCCGACGTCACCGGAAGCCAGTGCGGCGGCCTCGTCAGCCAGACAGGAGTCGACTTCCGCTGCGTCATGCAGGAACTGCTGGGCCTTGAGCGCCGCCTCCAGCCGGGCCGCGCGCTCCTCCGCCGCTGGTGACACAGAGGAGTATGCCTCTTCAAGCTCCTGCCACAGCTGCAT